CACTCTCTGGAGATACTCAGAACCTGTCTGGACACTTTCCTGTGTAACAGACTCTAGGGAGCCTTGTTTAGCTACGAGGTTGGACAAAATGATCTCCCGAGGCTCCTTCCAACCACTCAGATTCTGTAATTCTATGTGACTGAAAACACTTTTCTACAACAGATTTTTGTTATTGTGGTCACATATTGAATAATCATTTTGGATTCATTCAGCTCATGCATTTGGTATATCACAGATAGTTATATGTTTCAAAATTATGTGTGCTAAACTATTGAAATTATCTGGTCATATCCCAAAATTAGAGTAGGTGACTGTAGTCACACCCATACTAGTAAACAATGAAAAAATGAGTAGAAGAGGGTTTAGTTAGAGTGCACTGTGCTCTTGCTAATCCCATCCAGTACCTTTAGGAATGTCAGGCAAGTAGCATAAGACAAAACAGTTTCCAGCTGATCTAAGACACACTGGAGATCAGCTCTACCCTAAAAGTTTGATAGCATCAACTGATCTCAGGACGACAATCCTTCTCACTGCTGTGTTGAAGACAATTTCAGGACAATCGCAATTATGAGATTTTTCACTTTAAATTAATCCATGTGTCATGGTTTTGTGATTTTTGGTTTTCGGTATTCCACATCATAACATCATGTGGGGCACTGGGACTTTAACTGTTAATGCTCGAGTCCTGGGTACCTGCCCAGAAGAGAAGAAGAACTACGTTCCCCAGGAGACTTTGTGTTCAGGGAGAGGAAATTTAACTCCTGGCAAGGTCACCTGATGTGCTCTTTCTCACCTGCCCTTCGTCGTGGGCGCTGCTCCCGTCTCCCCGCTGCTCAACTGGACTGTGCATCTCACCTCAGCATTGTGGCGAGGCCTATCCACCTTTTGGACATTCTCATTATATTTGATTTATTAGCTTCAATTCTGATTATATTGTATTATAGTATGTTATCTTGCATTCCGATACTATATTTAGTAAATTAGTTTGTTTCTCCTCAGATTGTTGCCGCTGTTTTAATTATTTTGGGGTCCCCTGTTTGCTTTTTTTCTGGAGGTGTGGATCTGTGGATCCCTCTGCCCCACTCACAGAATCACAGAATCACAGAATTGTAGGGGTTGGAAGGGGCCTCCAGAGATCATCGAGTCCAACCCCCCTGCCAAAGCAGGTTCCCTACACCAGGTCGCACAGGTAGGCATCCAGGCAGGTCTTGAACATCTCCAGAGAAGGAGACTCCACCACCTCCCTGGGCAGCCTGTTCCAGTGCTCTGTCACCCTCACCATAAAGAAGTTCTTGCGCACATTTGTGCGGAACTTCCTATGTTGCTGTTTCCGGCCGTTTCCCCTTGTCCTGTCTCTGCTCATCACTGAAAAGAGTCCGGCCTTGACATTCTGCCCCCCACACCTTAGATATTTGTAGACCTGGATCAGGTCCCCTCTCAGTCTTCTTTTCTCAAGGCTGAACAGACCCAGTTCACTCAGCCTTTCTTCATAGGAGAGATGCTCCAGGCCCTTCACCATCTTTGTGGCCCTCCGCTGGACTCTTTCCAAGAGATCCCTGTCTTTTTTGTCCTGGGGAGCCCAGAACTGGATGCAGTACTCCAGATGAGGCCTTACCAGGGCAGAGTAGAGGGAGAGGATCACCTCCCTTGACCTGCTGGCCACGCTCTTTTTATTAATGCATCCCAGGATGCCATTAGCCCTCTTGGCCACAAGGGCACACTGCTGGCTCATGGCCAACCTGCTCATCATGGAACCGGGCCAAACCAGCCCGTAAACCATTGACACCATGAGAGTTTAACCTCTAGATCTTTCCTACAAGCTGAAAAACCTTTTTATGTCATTTTGCATATGTAGCTATTACTTATCTGTTTATATTTCTTTATCCTTATGTAAGGCCTTAATTAAACACTCTGGCTACAAGAAGCTTTGAAGGAAGATATATTTCTGATCTGTCCTTTTTGTCTCCTGAAGAACGAAGAATGCAAGCATGGTTAATCTGGCTTCTGTCATTGAATTCTTATTGATTACTACTGTTTCCCATATGTGTTCCAGCATGATAATTAAAAGGTGGAAAAAAGAAGTTTCCTGACCTGTTTTTTGGGGTTTTTTTAGGCACTTCTTAAAATGTGGTGAGTATAGCAGAGGTAGTCTGCCTAGCCTCTGAGAAATAGGGTTAGGGTTAGAGGAGACATTCAGTTAGAAATTCCTCATATTGATCAAAATGTAAATTCAGTAGGTTCTGAAAAGCTTCAACCTTAATTCCTGTGTAATGTTTGTGTCCCAACTTTTTGAGCTTTATAGTTCACTGTAGGAGATATTGGCCACCTGGGCGCTTCTGGCTCTTATTCAGCCAACTGTCCATCAGTACATTAAGGTCCCTTTCCATCTGGAAAGCTACCTGATGGAAAGGGACCTCGGTGTACTAACGGATAGTCAGCTGAACATGAGCCAGCTGTGTGCTCAGTTGGCCAAGAAAGTCATTGGCATCCTGGCTTGTATCAGGAATGGTGTGGTGAGCAGGACTAGGAAAGTAATCCTGCCCCTGTACTCGGCATTGGTGAGGCCTCACTTTGAGTGTTGTTTTCAGTTTTGGGCACCTCAAACCAGAAAGGACATTGAGGTGCTGGAACAGGTCCAAAGTAGGGCAACAAGGCTTGTGAAAACATGCCCAACGAGGAGTGACTGAAGGATCTAGGGCTGTTTAGTCTGGGGAAGAGGAGGCTGAGGGGAGACTTGGTTGCTCTTTTCCAAAACCTGAAAGGTGCTTACAGCAAGAGTGGGATTGGTCTCTTCTCACTTGTGACAGGTGACAGGATGAGGGTAAATGGCCTGAAGTTGCACCAGGCTAAGTTTAGGTTGGATATCAGCAAACACTTCTTTACAGAAAGGGTCATTGAGCACTGGAATAGGCTGCCCAGATAGACGGTTGAGTCACCTTTCCTGAATGTGTTTAAGAACCATTCGGATGTGGTGCTCAGGAACATGATTTAGCAGAATCACAGAATTGTAGGAGCTGGAAGGGACCTCCAGAGATCATTAAGTCCAACCCCCCTGCCAAAGCAGGGTCCCTACAGCAGACTGCACAGGTGGGCATCCAGGAGGGTCTTTAATGTCTCCAGAGAAGGAGAATCCACAAGCTACTTGGACAGCCTGTCCCAGTGCTCCGTCACCCTCACCATAAAGAACTTCTTTTGCATATTTGTGTGGAACATCTTATGCTCAAGTTTATGGCTGTTTCCCCTTGTCCAGTCCTCATCCTCTGAAAAGAGATTGGCCATATCCCTTTGCCTCCCACACTTAAGGTATTTATAAACATTAAAAAGATCTCAGTATTCTTTTCTCAAGGCTGAACAGACCCAGTTTGCTCAGCCTTTCCTCAAAAGAATGATAGTTTAGTCAAGGAAACAGGATTATTAAACAGAAAAACAAAATTATTCCGTAATTTCAGTGTCAGAGGACTTAAATCCTGAGAAGTATTACTACACCTTTAGCGTATGCCATATTAGAGAAACATCAGGAAGAGATAGGCCTAACTTGCTGTCAATACAAATTCCACAAAAAATATAGAACATCAGAATCAGAATATCAGAAATTACCTTATAATGCTCAGAGACTGATTTATAAAATGGAGTCAGGACCCTGAACTTTGAGAGAGCAAAGTTTGGGTATAAGTGATTCTTGGATGAGACCCCTGGGAAACTGTCTTTATGGACGAAGGAACAGAACAAAGCTAGAAGCATTTCAAGTATGCCTTTCTGAGAGCATAAGAGCTCACCATCTTCCAGAATAAAAAATTAGATGAGGCAGGAAACCAGAATGGGTGAGCAAAGACCTGTTGGTCAGACTGAGGAGAAAAAAAAAAAAAAAAAAAAAAAGTATAAGAGCTGATTTCCTCAAACATGTGGAAGGCTGAGGTACTTAATGAGTTCTTTGTCTCAGTCTTCATTACCAGTTAGGCCTCCCACACCTCCCAAGTCCCTGAACTCCTAAGCAGGGGTCTGGGGAGAAAAATCACTCCTGTTGTAAGAGAAGACCAAGTCCAATACCCCACATGAGGCTGAATATGCACTTGGGCCAGATGGTAAGCATCCCAGGAGAAAAAAAAGCTTCTTTACTTTGAAGGTGACAGAGCATCAAAACAGGCAACACAGAGAAGTTGTGGAGTCTTTTCTCTGGACATATTCAAAACCTGCCTGGATGCTTTTCAGTATAAAATGCTCTGGTGAACTTGGTTCAACAGGGGTTTGAACTAGGTGATCTGCAGAGGTCCTTTCCAGCCCCTACAATTCTGTGATTTGGCTGCAAGGAGTACAGTTTCTTCTAGACACAATTTTACAGGAATTATATTTAATTTCATGCCTAGGCATCATCTCTAGAACAGAGAATACAGTTGTGGCGCTGTAGGAATGGTAACTGCATCTAATGTAAATTGAATACCTAAAAAGAAGTGCAAAAAAAATTGTGCCAACTTCAGCATTTTTGTGCTGAAGTTTAAGGCTTATTTCTTTCCTGTAGTTTTTCAGATTACTTTTTCAGACTCCAGTGGACATGTTGGCTTCTACCTTTTCTACTCGTATCTATCAAAACCAATGATTCATGTTGAATGTGCAGTCACCCAAGTAGACACTGCTAGGAACCTTGTGACTGGGTAATAAATTCTAGATGACATTACATGTAGGTAAGAGTTATGAGATGCACATGAAGAAAATAATTTGAATTTCCTATATAAAACAATGGATTCCAACTTTCCATTAACATTTAGGAGGAAAATATGCTTTTGAATTTTTAAAAAGGAAAATGTTGGTACAACAACAACCCAAATATATTAGAAAATATGGAATAATAGTAAGAATATCTTTATGCCACTGTGTGAAACTTTCATTTACTTTCATTTGAAAAGAATGAATAATTCTGGCCTTTATTGAAAAGTAAAAAGCATACCTGGAAGATAGTTTAAAGAAGACTAATGAAGATTTTAAAAATTGTACAGCTTCCTCTGTGATGACTTGCGTGATAAGAACTACTAAGTGGACTTCAGTCTTGAAGAGAAGTGTTCTGCACAGAAGCATGTATCATGAAGAAAGTTGCTTGTGTACTTTCTCTTTTAAGGAAAGAATAAAAAGGTGGAAGGCTTTTTTATTAAGGCTGTGCCCCTACTCCCCCCCCATTGTCCTAAAAATATAGTAAATCTTAATAATCAAAATCTTGTGGAAAAAAACGCACAATAAAGACTCTTCATACTATAACTGATAACAGATTTGTACAACTCCTCATTATGGGATATTATACATAGATAGAATTTGCAGTTTCTAAGATGCAGATAGTGTAAATCATGGAGAATAAATCAATTTGGAGTTCATACATAATGAAAAAAACAACATCAACATGCAATTAATTGAAGGCTAACAAAATACTAGGAAGAAATTTTATATATACCTGCTCTGTTTCTGCCATCTCCTAACTATCTTTTTGGTGGCCATTTTAGGAGCTAATCTGATACACCGTGTGACTACCTTGCTCTGAAAATAATACATTTCAGTGATGAAAGGATGAATTACCTACGTGGATTAGGGAAAATACTACTACCTGTAGAACTATTTTAAATTGCTAATTTCAAGCAATGCAATACTGTGACTTTCTGGGACAGTCTTTGAATCTGTCTTGAAAAATAAGTGACAGAATAAACCTAAAGTGATTTTCTTCCTGGAGAGAAGAAGTTCTTGGTAGATAAGCTTAAGTAACACATACGTCAGCCAGAAGTAAATTTAAATCAGTTAAAAAAAGTTACCTTGAAAAGAGGTCCATTGTCACATGGGATTTGCAGTTCTATCAGGAACTCTTATTTAATGATAGGTTCACGTCCTAGAGAAGACAGAGTTCAGGAGGCAGTCCCTGGCTTGTCAAGGTTGTCACACACTAAAATATAAAGCTAGCAGCATAAAAGAATTATCTATGTAGGAACGTATAGGCAATACATTTAGTACCTTTTTATTCTTTTCCCTCCTTTTTTCTTGCCCCAAAACAGGTCTGTTAAATTCGGTTTCAAAGCCACTCTACAGCAAGGTTTAAGCTCACAGCTGTAGCAAGATACTTGAGCTGTCACGCAACAGCCCCATTCGCCAGTAAAATGGTACATTTTATAATATTTTAGAACTTGCCTGACTGAAATAAGACAAGTATTTAATTTGCTATTGTTTGAAATATTACAGAAAAAAAAAGGCATTAATCAACCAGAAATTAACTGATTGACCTTAATTATACAAAAAAAAACCAAGATGCCACTCCTTCAAGGTTTTACCCTGTCATTAATTTATATCATAAATGTCTGGAAAATAAAGTTCTAATAAAACTGCGGACACAGATGATAGTTTAGCTCTAATACAAAAACTTTTTATTTATTTATTTCTATTGTTTTTTGGGGGGGTTCTTTCATAGATCTATTAAAAATACAAGAGCAAATTACTTTTGCTTGATGGATTATGCAGTTGTAAAATACAAGTTGTGTTAAGTAGCATTCAAAAAAAAAAACAACACTGAATCTTTCCAAACATGCCTTTTGGCTAGTTTTATGTTTATTTTGCAATGTTCCACAAAAAAAAAAAACTTCTCAAATTTACCATTTTTGCTTCTCAGATGCAATCCTCCTCACTGAACAGAAACTCTATAAACAACAGTGTTCAAGACTATAACCTTAAGTGTGTTTGTCATGACATACTTGCTGCACAGCCTTAAAAACAATAACAACAAAGATAATGGAAGACACTGAAAGGTTTATAACTGCAAAAACATTTAAGCTAGCAAAATCTTCCCTCTTGAAAAAGTGTGAACACTAACCTGTTTTACTTTCTAATGTTGTTTCTAGCAACTGAATATGTTCTACACTTAGAAATTACATATTCTGCAAGAATTAATCGAACATGCCTTGGTAAAGGAAATGTACCAAAGAAGGAAAAAAAATCCGCAGTGACCTGAAACAGTATGTAATCTTTTTACCTGATGGTTTGTTTTTTGTTTGCGTTTTTTTTGTTTTGTTTTGGAACCAGCATTTTTATTTATATGAGAAATTCTGTTTGTGAATAACATAAAATACAACTTCTTATTTGTGACTAAATCTGATATTTTATATATTTAAACATAGCAATGAATTGGATGATCTGACTTTTAATTCAGTAATTATTTTGTATAAAATATAAATTTTATTCAAAAAATAGCATTCTGAGTCCCCATAAGTTTTACACAGAATCACAGAAACACCAAGTTTGGAAAAGACCTACAAGATCATGCAGTCCAACCACTCACCTATCACTAATAGTTCTCACTAGTTTTCTTTATGTTTGTGGAATGAGATATAGCACTGAAGCTGTATGCTAAATATCATACTCTATAAGCAAATCATGTGACTATCCCTTATAACCTTGAAGAATGAAAGTCTGTGAGTTAAGTTACAAAGGCACTAGTACTGACTGGACACTACCAAGTGTGTTAGAAGTCAAAATGACTTTGAGTAAACAAACATAAATTACTACTTTTTTTTATTCATTGTGTGACAAGAAAATAATAACTATGATATTGAATGAATCTTTACAAGTTCATATTTCATGATTAAGGTTTCATTAGCTCTCCAAAAGATTTTTTAGCATAAATCATTCTGAATTTTGCAAATGTGTACATATATAAATATTTGTATAAACAATGAATATAAAGATGTCACAATTATGAAATAAGAGAACTTGGGGAAGCAAGTTATAATAACAAGAAGAGAAAAGATAGAATGCTTATTCACATACCAGTCTCACTGCAAAGCTCCAGAAGAGGGATCTCCAAAAGAGATCCTTTCCTACTGGTAGTCAGCTCTTAAATGGGTCTAGGAGAGGTGGAGTGAAGGCAATTCACCTGTGCTGCTGTGGCTGGCTCATTGCTCACGTCAGGTGATCAATCAGAGGTTCAGGCTGTGATTCAGCAGTTCCTATACAATATTAAAAAAAAAGACAAAAAGAAAAAAAAGTAGTAGAATTTTATGTTATGAAAGTGTTTCAATGATGTAGCTGACTGTTCTGTGACTGAAAAATTAAGTCTGCATACTGCTGCTATCAATATTTAAGTGGCACTGACAAGACAAAGGCAGAAGGAAGAATTGTTATGAATAAATTGGTTTCTACCTGCAATGTCTTTTATATTAATCATTGATTTTTAGTGTGCTATTTTAAAATGTTCATGTCTCATTAACAAATTAGGACACAATCATCAAGTATTCTTCTTTGATAGAATAACTAGTTTAGCAGATTACAATGAAACAATGGCATTGATTTTAAAAAAGCTCTTACAGTGGCTAATACAACATTCTCGAAATCCAAGCAGAGAAAAGACAGTTACCTCGGAGACATCTACAATACTGATTGAAAATAATGCTGAATGAAATTATGTAAGTATTTTGATTGGTTAATATGTAGGTTTTCTGGTCTGAATGCAGTTTTGTTCAATACTTTCATTTCTGCTAGCTGGCAGAATTTAGAGAATATTTTAAAAATTGTTGATAACAAATTTAATGAAATCGAGTTAAAAGAGTTTGCAAACACATTACAGAATTGTTTTTTGAAGTTCACAAGATAAAGGTAACATCACTTGATAGTAGTACTGTGCCAAACTTGAGTAAATGATTAACACTACAGCTCGAAAGATTTAGATAATGACAGTGATCCATATATTAACATAGGGAGGTTGATTCTTATGAAAAATGAAAACATCATTTAGGAAACCAGCTGCTTTAAATGCAGATTATATTTTTTTCTATCCTAAATTTCTGTTTTGAATGAAAGTTGTAGTCCAAAAAGAAGATAACAAATGATAGCAATTACAACAATAACTGAAATACATCTTAGGAGGAAAGATCAAAGACACTGGTGTGATTTTATTTGGCAGACTACAGAAACTACAGTGAAAAGGGCAATAACTAGATGTCCTTATTTTGCTGGAGAAAAATTTATGTTAAATGTTGAGAAAAATCTTCGTAATAACGGCAGTAAATAACAGGAAGATAATAGCAAATAGGTCATAGATCATAGATTTTTAAAGAATTGAATATGTATTTATCTCTGATTATAATAGTCAAGTTGTATACCATCTTTGATAAAAGAGAATCAAGTGATCTTTCATAATACATTTCAGTATCCTTTCTGTGCAATTTTATGATCAATGCTAAATATTTAAAAAGTCTCAAATCTCTTGAGTTGCTGAATATGCTAAATATGCTAGATTCATTAGGAAACATAGCATGATTTTATTATAATAATATATAAATGTAGAACTAGTTTACGAATATTATTTTCATGGTATATCTGGATATCAAGAAAAAAAATAATATAAAATTGTTATTTTAATTACATTGTAAATTTTCATGAATTAATATGTTAGTGTCATCAATGTGATGTCAGTGTGATAATATTCTCCAAGATGTTCTCCAAAATTACATTTTTGGTGCTTTTAGAGGAGATGAGAAATATTTATTTAGTTTGTAGAGATATGGAAAATTTTAAATTATGTTTAGCCATACACAAGTTCAATAGCATTTTCTCAGGAGATGTTCATATTTTGGTTGTGCTATATCAAAACAGATTTCTTTCATCCACACTGTACATATCTTTACAAGATGAATTAGAAATATTTCAGATAGGAGAGAATGCAGGGAAATACTATCACATGCTTTCCCTCATAGTATTTTTTACCTAATTAGCTACTACTGAACTATTTTAGAATGAGTACGTTGAGCTTGATGGACCCTTATCCAGCCTGACCCAGAGTAGCTAGATGTTAGATTTCCATAGATCTTTAAGCCTTGATTCCTCTAATCCAAATGCTCAGAAACTCCCAAGAAAGTCAGAACATTACTATAAATGAAGTCTGACAGCAACCACTTTGCTCCCTGATTTTTCTGAGCAGACACAGTAAAAAGCATTTTAAGCAAGCCATGGTATTTGTTTCAGGTAAGATTCATGCCAAATTCGCCCTTTAGATGAAAGAGGATAATCTATTTATCATATGAAAAAAAATAATAATAGTCACGCATAGTTCATAGAATACAGAATGACTTGGACTGGAACAGATTATTTGCCCTGGTTCTATTGCTATCAGACCATTCCTTAAAGGTATGTTTGGGTCCAAGAGGCAGGATGTCTCAGGAGCAGGGGCAAACATGCACACATTCAAGGCAGCATAGAGAGTTACAAGTTTTGTTTTGCAAACACACACACACACACACAGAGGCATCCACTTAGATAACCCTAGTAAGCGGCAAGCAGAAATTCCCTTAGCAAGTTCAGTATTACTTACTGACCGTTTAGAGACAGACAAAACACTGAGTAGGAGAAGGAGAAGGAAAATGCCAGTAGTGGATTTGATAGGTAGTGTCAGCAGGGCATTCCTCACTTCAAAGTGCATTTTTCCTCTCCAAACTCACTACAGCCTTACTTCTGTCTCTATTCTCTCCAGGGTCTGCGGGTTTTTTCCAATTATGTGGAAAACACGTGATACAGAACCCAAGTGGAACACTTGTCTGCAAACAAGTTCATCTTTGTGGCTCTTCTCTGGACCTGCTCCGGTAGCTTCTCATCCTTCCTGTACAGGGGACCTCAGGCCTCGATGCACTATTCCAGATGGAGCCTCACCATGGCAGAGTAGAGAGAAATAATCATCTCCCTTGCCCTGATGGCCATCCCTTGAGTACTGCGTCCAGGCCTAGTGCCTCCAGTACAGGAAGCACATGGAGCTCTTGTAATGGGTCCAGAGGAGGGCCATTTAAAATGATCAGAGGGGTGGAGCACCTCTTCTATGAAGAAAAGTTGAGGGAACTGGACTTCTTTAGCTTGGAGAAGAGAAGGGTCCGGGGAGACCTCATTGTGGCCTTCCAGTACTTAAAGGGAGCATATAAACAGGAGGGGGAAGGCAGTTTATGAGGGTGGATACTGATAGGACAAAGGGGAATGGTTTTGAACTGAGATGGGGCGGTTTAGGTTAGATAATAGGAGGAAGTTTTTCACACAGAGGGTGGTGACACACTGGAACAGGTTGCCCAAGGAGGTTGTGGATGTCCCATCCCTGGAGGCATTCAAGGAAAGGCTGGATATGTCTCTGGGCAGCCTCATCTAATGGTTGGCAATACTGCATATAGCAGGGAGGTTGAAACTAGATGATCATTTTGGTCTTTTTCAACCCAGCCTGTTCTATGATTCTATGATACACAGACACACACAAATAAACAAAAGCCAGCTCTTGTCAGGTTTTCTGTATCTAGCTCGTTCTGAACCCTAGGATGGATACCATCCGGCCCCACTGACTTAAACATATTCAATGTCATGAAGAGGACTTGGACTTGTTCCACCATTAGAGTGGGACAGAAACCATTCCCCAAACCCTCACCTAGAGGCTCACAATCCTGGCAGACATGGGAAGCTTGACCACCTGTGAAGACTGAGGCAAAGCACTCATTGAGTACTTCAGCTTTCTGAGGAAGCCAGCTCCCTGTTACCTTTCATCAGAGGGGGAGCATTTCCCTTGACCTGTCTCTTCCTGCCTATGCACCTGTAGAACCCCTTCTTGTTATCTTTCATGTCCCTCATCAGGTTCAGCTCCATCTGCACCTTGGCTTTCCTAGTCATATATCTACATGCATTGCATTCCTCCCAGGCTACACAACCCTTCCACTTTCTGTATTTTTCCCTCTTTTCTCTCAGTTTAAGCTGCAGGTCCTTGCACAGCCACAAAGAACATCTTCCTCCACTGCTTGACTTTGTCTACTGGGGGATGTAGAGCTGTTGCACTCTCAGAAGAGTGTCCTTAAAGAGCTGCCAGCTTTGTTCTGTGCCCATGCCTTTAAGGACAGTTTCCCAGGGGATCCCACTCAACAGTTCCCTGAGCAGCCAGAAGTTTGCTCCGCTAAAGCTCAGGGTCCTAGCTCTGCTTTTTGCCTGGCCTGCATTCTTCAAGATCGCAAACTCCATCAAGGCATGATCACATTATACTTCTTTCCTTCTTTAATAATAAAGACACAAACTCTTTTATTTATTTATTTTTTATTTTAAAATAACTTCATAGTTGATAGAGCTATGAAAGGCAAATCACAGTTAATGCTGATTTATAATAATTCCTGGAGAGGTGAAAAATAATTTGCATGAATGCTGACACAACAGAGCTGCACTGAGTAAAATGAAGTTTAAGTGACACTCAGTTAAAAAATAAAATCACTTTTCTTAAAAGCAAGATTAAAATTATGTATAAGAATGCACATAAACACTATTCTGTTAATTATAGAAGACAGTTTTATTCTTTTTAAAACATTTATCCTGTAAATTGTAATGCTGTCACAAAAAATGAATAAGTGTGAGGCTGTTGCTTCTTTTTTGCCAAATAACCATACACAATTATTTGTAGTTTTGTTTACAGAGACAATTGATTTCTATGAATGTAAAATTATTTTTACTAGACTCATATATCCAATTAAACACATAACTGTTTACGTGAGTATTTTATTCATAATTTATTGATCGTAATGTTTTAAAATGTATGATATACTTACATCAGCCATTAAATGTTAGGTGATAAAGCAATCAAAAATATGCTACTAAAATTAGCAGAATTTGGACTGACCTCAAACTAGCACCCATGGATTCTTATAATTTCTGTGTGGTTGCTTGAACACATAAATACACTTCTCTCCAACATAGAAAATCCATCCTAGTTGTCAAATATCTTAAATACATATCAGCAAACAAGTCATACAATAACATAGGTTCATTTTCATTTTCTTCTCAGTACAGAACAA